TACTCCAACATCATGTATCTACAGGGGTTGGATGATGCCGCCTGGTGTCGATGCTTCCCGGCGACCCTGAAGGGCATTGCCCAATGGCGGTTTGGTAATCTACCAGCCGGATGCATAAACAATTTCAGAACCTTGGCGTATTTATTCACGTCAAACTTCTCAATGAACATCCCTGCCAAGAAGACCAGCCTTGATCTTGGGGCAATACAGCAGGGTAAGAAGGAAGGACTCCGGTCCTATGTCAGGCGGTTCAATCTGATGAGAACTCAGTGGATGAGGGCCAGGTGTCGAAGGACACCTTTCCTGAGGTCCTTATTTCTGAAAAGGACCGGGGCAAGGTCAGACGGCCTCACGATGACTCCATCGTCATTGAATGCAAGGTTGCCAACCAAAAGATTGGCCGGATCTTAATAGATACTGGGAGCTCGTCTGACCTAATCAGCTATCAGTGCTTGACAAAGCTCAAGTACAAGCCCACCAGCATGCAACAGGCGCCTCACCCCTTAGTTGGTTTTGGGGGAGGAGTGGTGCATCCGATAGGAAGCATTGACCTTCCTATCTGGTTAGGTGAAAAGGCGCAAGGACACCACATGGTTGTCAAGTTCTTAGTTGTGGAGGAACTGACTGCCTACAACATGATATTTGGCCGTCCGACCCTCAACGAGTCTAAGGCTGTCATTATCTCGTCTCTCATGCTGGTCAAATTTGAGAAGGATGATGGTACAGTCGGTTCCTTAAACGGGGACCAGAAGACGGCTAGGGAGTGCTATTTCTCTGACGTCTAGCCAACTATGGGTACAGCCGGTCAAGGTGAGCCCATAGATGTTGATAACTGCGATCCAGCAGTCCCGGCTCCAAGGGCAGCCGGTAAGAAAAGGAAGGCGGACCAGCTGGCACCCGTAAAAAAAGAAAAGAAATAACAATCACTTGCCGGAGAAAGGTCGGATGACTTTCGACCCCAACCGGCAGGAGAGAGCGTTGATGTCGTCCTGAACGACAACCGGCCCGACAAAACCGTCAAGGTTGGGACGGTTGCTTTTGAGATGTCTGGGGCAGATTTGCTCCAACTGCTGAAGGAATTCAAAGACATTTTTGCCTTTGAAGTGGAAGAGATTCCAGGCGTGAGCCCGGATCTAGCTGTCCACAAACTCGCCGTGGATCCAAAAAAGAAGCCGGTTAGGCAGAAAAAGAGAAATCATGGCGAGGAAAGATCTCAGGCGGCAGCCGCCGAGGTCAAGAAGCTGTTAGATGCTGGGTTCATTCGGCAATGCTACTACCCGGATTGGGTAGCAAACATTGTCCTGGTTAAAAAGCCGAACGGAACTTGGCGGATGTGTGTAGACTACACAGATCTGAACAGAGCATGTCCAAAAGACAGTTACCCGCTCCCCCAGATCGACAGCCTGGTTGACTCTACAGCCGGTCATGATTTGATGAGCTTCATGGACGCCTACTCAGGCTTCCATCAGATACCCCTCTGGAAAAAAGATTAGGAAAAGACGGCATTCGTCACTGATCAGGGGTTATTTTGTTACACTGTGATGCTGTTTGGGTTAAAGAATGCGCCTGCTACATTTCAGCGAATGATAAACACAGTTTTCCTCCATCAGATAGGCAGGAATGTAGAGGCGTATATCGATGACATTATAGTCAAATCTAAGCTACAGACGGATCATCTAGCTGACCTCCGAGAAACGTTCACCACACTCAGGCGGCACAAGGTCATGCTTAACCCTAAGAAGTGTGTCTTTGGTGTTGAGTCTGGGAAGTTCCTCGGGTTTTTGATTGACCAAAGGGGAATTGAGGCTAATCCGGAAAAGGTACAGGCGGTAATTGACATGCAGTCACCCCGCAATGTAAGAGAAGTCCAAAAACTCACCGGTTGCCTGGCGGCATTGGGGAGATTCCTCAGCCGGTCTGGCGACAAATGCCTCTATTTCTTCCAAGCAATTAGGAAGAGGTTAAGGTTTGAATGGGGAGAAGAGGCTGAGGCGGCATTTCAGAAGCTCAAGCAGCATCTGTATTCTTTACCAAGGCTAGTGAGCCCTCTGCCCCAGGAGGCTCTCTACATGTATCTAGCCGTCTCAGATCACTCCCTTAGTGTTGTTCTCCTTGCTGAGAGAGACAACAATCAACTCCCGGTGTATTTCATCAGTCATGTCCTAAGAAATGCTGAGCTCCGGTACCCTATGATTGAAAAATTTGGGTTGGCCCTCTACAAAGCAGTCAAGCGGTTGAAGCCCTATTTCCTGGCTCATCCGGTAACTGTATACACTGATCAGCCACTCAAGCGCCCAATGACCACCATAGAGTCATCCGGTAGAATGATCAAATGGGCTGTTGAAATGCAAAGCCTGGAGATAACTTTCGAACCCAGGCGGGCAGTGAAAGGTCAGGCGTTTGTTGACTTCATTGTTAAGATGACTAGGCTGGTGCAACCGGAAAAATCCTGATCAGGTTTGGAAGCTGTTTGTAGACGGTAGTTCTACAACAAACGGCTGTGGTGCAGGCGTTATTTGCCATTCTCCGGTAGGGGATAAGTTTGAATATGCACTGCGGTTTAAGTTCCAGGCCTCAAATAACGAAGCAGAATATGAAGCCCTACTAGCCGGCATGCGTATGTGTAAGGCAGCCGGAGCAAGGAAAGTTGACGCCTGCTCAAACTCTTAATTGATCGTTAGCCAGTACCACGGTGACTACGAAGCCACCCATCCGGCTATGATCAAATACCTGCAGGCGGTCAGGGAAGAGGCTGCGTCACTTGATGAATTTCATTTGAGTCAAGTGCCAAGGTCTGAAAACAATCAGGCGGATGCGCTCTCCAAATTGGCATCATCCGCCTCCTGCGATGCGCCGAGGACAGTCTTTTGGGAAGTCATGGATAAAAGAAGCATAGACCATGATCCCATTGGAATTTTGGACCGAAGCGCCACCTGGATGGATCCCATCCGGGCTTATCTGACAGACGACTCTTTGCCGGATGTCCCTTCAGAAGCAGCTGCGCTAAAAAAGCGAGCTTTGAGTTTTGTTATGCACCAAGGAGAACTTCTCCGGAAGGGGCATTTACAGCCGTTTCTGAAGTGTGTAACCCCAGAAAGGGGAAAGGAAGTCTTGGAAGATCTGCACGCGGGTTTTTGTGCCTCGCATATAGGCGGCATATCCCTGGCTAAAAGAGCCAGGCGACAAGGATATTTTAGGCCCACTCTTGAGGAAGATGCCATTGACCTGGTAAAGAGGTGTGATAAGTGCCAACGGTTTGGCCGGTTGATACATCGTCCGGCAACGGACCTTACAGCTATACACAGTCCGATCCCGTTTACAAAATGGGGGATGGATATCTTGGGACCCTACACGCCTGCTTCAGGCGGTCGGCGCTACATCTTGGTAGCCATAGATTACTTCATCAAATGGGTTGAAGCAGAGGTGGTCAAAGGCATAAAGACCAAGGATGTGATCTCCTTCATTTGGAGAAACATCATAACCCGGTTTGGGGTCCCTATGTCTATGGTCTTCGACAATGGTCCTCAATTTGAAACGCCTGTGCTCAAGGGCTAGTTGGGGGATCAGGGTATCTCCCATTGCTTTGCGTCTGTAGGCAGGCCCTAGGAAAACGGACAAGTTGAGGCCTTCAATAAGATTATCTCAGACACCATTAAGAGGAAAGTTGAAAGGGCTGGTGGTCTATGGGCAGAGGAGTTGCCTCATGTTCTTTGGGCTATCAGAACAACTGAGAAAGGGGCAACCGGTGAAACCCCGTTCCTTATGACATACGGCTCTGAGGCTGTTCTCCCTATTGAGCACTATGAACCAACTATCCGTGTCATGCTGTATGATGAGGAGGCCAACTAGGAGGCCATGCGTCTTGCCCTGGATGCTCTTCCAGAGCGAAGGGGCAACACCGCCTTACGACAAGAGGTATATTGTCTGAGAATGACTAGAGTGTACAACAAGCGGGTACACAAGCGGTCCTTGAAAGTAGGGGAATTTGTACTCCGCAAAATGGAGGCAACCGGTAGGGCAAATGAGCAGGGCAAGCTAACCCCAAATTGGGAGGGCCCCTACCGGATTTTTGAAGAAGTTAGAAATGGCACATACCGCCTGGAGACCCCAAACGGTAGGAAGTTGCCTAGAACTTGGAATGTAGACAACTTAAAAAAGTACTACTTCTAAGAACTGTAAAACTCTTGTAATTACCGTATGATTAATGAAAACAGTTTAGTTCATTATGTTTCTGTATACCTATGCCATGTCTTGTGCTTAACACAAGCGGCTTTCATCATTTAACTTTTCACATGCTAGGTCTTGTGCTTAACACAAGCGGCTTTTATCATTTAATTTTCATGCGCCATGTCTTGGGCATTACCCAAGCAGCACATCCGGTGACACCCATACGGGTGAATTCACTGAAGAGAGCATCTCCCTTTTTGGTGGTAAATTGTTCTAGTGATCAAATCTCAAGCGGATATAATAAATGGAAATCAAGCCGGTTATTTCTGCCTGAATTATCCATTGCATCAAAGAATAGCTGACTAGCACTCCCAAAAGTGCAGCCGATTTTCTCTTTGAAAAGCAGTACCGACAGAAGCTAGCCTCGAAAAAGGCAGCCGGTACTCCCAGTACATCCAGACCGCCGTCTACCCCTTCTGAAGAGGCAGGCGCAGGATAAACATGTTAATGCTAACTCAATTCTACGCAAAAGCACCTCATACGGTTCACCATCAATTCTATCTTTGAGCACCTAACGAAAAAAACGCAGCCGACAACCTAGCAAAACAAAATCTACACAGTACTTAAAGCCGTGTTCTCACTCGGGTTGTACGTGTTTAAATATCATCAGTCCCTAACCGGGGGCATACGGATAGCCGCCTGGCTGAGCGCAGCTCTACCAGTCACCTATCCAGGGGGAAATATTCCCAACCCCACTCCGTCTCCGCTTCGAACGACAATAGTACTTGAAGAAATTTCTAAGAAAAATTTAAAGTGCAAATAAGGAGAAATCATTCAACAAAACCGGCACAGCCGGTGGGAAAATATATATATTAATATTCAAAATAAAATACAATGGCAGAGTAAGCCGACTCATCCGGCGCGATTACAAGATAATGCTTGGCGCGCAGGCCGGGAGGTCGTTGCTATTCTATCTGCACGGTCACCCGGTCCTCCGAAGCCTGAGTCCCTTCCGGGTGTGACGGATCAATGGTGGGGACGGAGCCAGGAGCAACTTCATCTTCAATTGCCTCCTCATTAGCAGCCGCTTCCTCCTCCATCCTTTTGAACTCCGCCTCAACCCACTTCTCATAGGGTTCAGGCCCCGGCTGACCCCCCTCTTCAGCCAGAATGGCGAGATCTGCATATTTGTAGGCGAGCTCCCAGACGTTGTAGTCTGTACCCGGATGGATAATGGAGAACGCCCTCTTCATTCTGTTCTCGCAGTCTTGCTCATTCTCCTCAATGAGCCGGTTCTGTTCTGCTTCAAGGGTGGCCTGGAAGTTGCCCTTTGCAGCAGCTGCCTCTTTGATCAGGCGGTCATTCTCTTTCTGTAGGCGGGTGCTTGTCTTCTCCGCCTGATCTAGCCGTTTGAGGGGCTCCTCATGGTCCTTGAGCTCCTTCTCGGCATTGTCCAACACCACCTTGAGATTGTCCAATTTGTTCTTGGACTCATTGAGGGCATTTTGGAGGGTCTTAACCTGGTCCACCTGTCGCATGATTATAGATTTAGTTTCTAAGTCATGCACAATCATTGAATATTCAGCAACGTTATGTGCGTCATCCGCAGAACGTTTGGCTCTCCTTACCTCCTCTTGTTTGCGTATTTATTGATTTACCGCCGGTAGAGGGCCAGGCGGTGGATGTGGTCTTTTGCACCTTAGATGCAGGCTCCTCTACAGTCGGCTTCGGCCGAATCTGCTTTTGCAAGGAGCGAGGAGCTTTGCTCCCATCCTGAAACGAAGAAACAAACGATCAGGCGAAGAAATGAGCAAAACGGGAGTAAAGCAAACAAATCAAAGAAAAGTTAGACGGTCTAACCTTCTTAGCCGCCTGAGCAGCAAGCTTTTTCTCCAGATTCTCCTTGCGGATGTCTGAAGCCTTCCTAGCAGGCATTTTCTCTGTTGGCAACATGTTCTTTGCTTCTTCTGCAAAACACAAATCAAATACGTCCGGTCAAGGTCAAGACAATAGCAAACAAGCATTGTAATCAAGAGAAAATAGTCATCCAGCATTAACACGCCGGATGAGGCTTTTAACCTACGTTTTTCGAACATGCTGCTAAGCCCGCAGGCGGACAAAAAGGCCTCGTCCCTTAGAAACTCATGTTTGGGCACCCTTATTACCTCTCCGGTTGAGAGGGTGGAAGGGACGAGCTCAAAAAAGTGGGAGTCCAGGATTGCTTCCCTATCCCTCTCCGGCACTGGGGGCATCTGGCATTTCTGCCCCAAAAGTTCAGGTTTCCGGTTGTATGTCGGGAACTCTCTGTTTTCCTCATTTGTAGGAGCCTTGACCAGGTAGAAGTGGCTCTTCCAGTCCAACCACTTAGACGGTTTGTCAAGTGTCATAAGGTACTGGGGGTAGGTGGTCAGGGTGTACCAGGCTCTCCAGCCGCCTGGGCTCCTACTCAAGTAGTGCATATGGGCAAACGCCTCCCATCCGGGGTTCAGATCCTGCATTTCGCAGGCGGCGATGTACCCGAGAATATTCACCCAACATTTGGGGGTGAGTTGCCAGATGCCCAAGCCATACCCCCTTAGTATGGCCTTTATTGTGTCATGAAGGGGGAAGCGGAGCCCCGCCAAGAATGCCGCCTCGTAGCAGCCAAACCAGTCGTCTGCATTGCACTGGTCATCTTCCCAAGCAATTGTCCCCTTCGCAGGCGGGACCACCAGTCTATATCCCGTTCCAAGGGGCCGCTTGAGGACGAAATCGGCCAAATTGTTCTGCATCATGGCTCTGTCTTTGGTAGAGACGGTGATCATCAAAGGATCACCCTTGGTTTGCCAGGAGGGTCTCTCCTCCTCCTCACTATCAACGGATGGCGTTAGATAGATAGAGCTCCTCTCCACGGGATCGAGAGTAGAGCCAGAAGCAGAGGAGGATGCCTCTTGGGATGAGTTTCTTCGTTCAACGGAGGCGACTTCCTCACCGCCTCCCTGACCAGAGCCTAGAATGCTATCACTAGGCGTGCTGGGAATACCTCTAGGAGATCCCATGGCTGTCTCATTAGGGGCCCTCTCATCAGGCGGCAACTCGTCAGAGCCACCGCCTCTATAATTGGGGTCCACAACCGTCTTCCTGGTTCTGGCCATTGTGTCCTGCACAGACACGGAGACGGTCGGATTGGGAGATAAACAAGGCAAATCCAAGAGGTTACAGTCGGTGTTTCCAATTCTGGACTCAGCCATACTAATAGACCGGCTGGTCTCATTATTATGTTCCGGATGGGGGTATAAAAGGTCCATCTAACTATGGGACATATAAACGAGAAAATAAACAAAAGAATCAAGCGAAAATACATGGAAGAGCTTGAAAGAATAGAGGCGGTACCTAAAAGAAAGAAGGAGAAAAACCGCTTGGTCGCTAAGAATTTCTTGGGATTGCTTGCAAAGACACAGGCGTCACTTGAGCCGGCTGTGTTGTTTGAAGTGTAGGTGAAAATTTGGCTTGCTATCCAACCCCTCAGACGGTTGTAAACCGGATGATCACGCAGTGTTTATCTCAGAAATACTCTCAAATACCGGTTGCTCTCGAAAATCAAAAAATTCGCAAAGTTAGTAAATGAGGGTTCGAGGAGGGGACTTGCCTATTTATAGGCCTCTCCTCAGAAGGCGAAGAGTCCCGACTCTTCACCTTCTGCTTTTCCCGCCTTTTCACCCAAACAGCCATAATCCAAGAGATTAAAAAAAAAAAAAGAGTTCTTCACAGGTGCCATGTGGCACAGCCACGTCAGCACCTATGAAGGGCAAATGTTTAGGGTAAAAATTATCCTAGACATGTGGCCCAATAGGCTGGTGACACGTGGCGCATCACCATTAGTCAAAAGGGCTCCAATCCCCTATTGACACGTGTCCTTGGTACCCTCCATGGGGGACTTGTCTGTCCTACTATAAATAGTGGGGCAAACCTCATTAATGGGGCATTCAAAAATATAAACACTATTACCGAGCAATATTAATTGCGGAATTCTCCCAATCAGCGAGAAGAATTTAACCTATTCCGTATTCTTTTCTCCTGTACGTATACTAATTTGATCGTCGGAGGCGAAGCTCCTACCAACCGGAGTCTTCGTGATCTTCCAGGTACAGGCACCGGCAGCTTAGTCTTGGAATCGTAACTCTCCCGCAGGACACATCAAAAAACCCCGAAACACCGTCCATCTAGGTTGAACTCCGGTTAAGAACGCCAATGGGATCTTCCTCAATACTTCGCTTTTCCATTACCTCCCAGAAGACTGACTAAGGTGTATGACAGGAGGCGAATGATGCCAACTTGGAAAGAGCATCTGCCTGATTGTTCTCCGACGGGGGCACTTGACTTAGATGAAATTCATCAAGTGTCCCAGCTTCTGTCCTGACAGCCTGCAAGTACTTGATCATAGCCGGATGAGTGGCCTCATAGTGACCATGGTATTGGCTAACAACCAATTGAGAATCAAAGCAGGCATCAATTTTTCTTGCCCCTGCCGCCTTGCACATGCGGATGCCAGCTAACAAGGCTTCATGTTCTGCCTCATTATTCGAGGCCTGGAACTAAAACCTCAGTGCATATTCATACTTGTCCTCCTCAGGAGACTGACATATTATCCCTGCACCACATCCATTCATAGTAGAGCTCCCGTCTACATACACCTTTCAAATATGATCAAGATTTTCCGGCTCAACTGGCCTTGGCATTTCAATAATGAAGTGTGAACGCCTGTTCCTTCACTGCCTTCCTCGGTTCGAAAGAGATTTCAAGACTTTGCATTTCAATAGCCCATTTAAGCATTCGGCCGGATGACTCTAAAGTTGTCATTGACCGCTTGAGGGGTTAATCTGTATAGACTACCACCGGATGTGCCAAGAAGTAAGGTTTCAACTTCTTGACTGTCATGAACAAGGCGAGACCGAATTTTTCAATCATAGAGTACCAGAGCTCTGCATTTCGAAGCATATGGCTAATGAAATAGACCGGGAGCTGATTGTCGTTTCTCTCAGCAAGGAGAACGACACTGAGAGAATGATCTGAAATGGCTAAGTACATGTAAAGCGTCTCCTTGGGTAAAGGGTTGACAAGCCTTGGCAGGGAATGCAAATGCTCTTTCAATTTTTGGAAGGATGCCTTAGCATCATCCCCCCATTCAAACATGGTCTTCTTTCTGATTGCTTGGAAGAAATAGAGGCACTTGTCGCCTGACCGGCTGAGGTATCTCCCCAATGTCGCCAGACAACCGGTTAATATCTGTACTTCCTTTACAGTGCGAGGTGAAATTCATGTCAATAACCGCCTGTATCTTCTCTAGGTTGGCCTCTATCCCCCTTTGATCAATAAAAAATCCGAGAAACTTCCTAGACTTAACACCAAAGACACACTTCTTGGGATTGAGCATGACCTTGTGCCACCTAAGTGTGGTGAAGGTTCCTTGGAGATCAGCAAGGTGATCCGTCTGTAGCTTGGATTTGACAATCATGTCATCAATGTACGCCTCTACATTCCTTCCAATCTGATTAAAGAAGACCGAGTTAATCATATGTTGGAAAGTAGTAGGCGCATTCTTCAAGCCAAACGGCATCACAATATAGTAGAATAACCCCTAATCACACGAATGCCGTCTTCTCTTGATCTTTTTTCCACAGGGGTATCTGATGGAAGCCGGAATTGGCATCCATAAAACTCATCAAAGCATGTCGAGCTGTTGAATCGACCAGAATGTCGATCTTTGGAAGCGGGTAACTGTCCTTCGGACATGCCTTGTTCAGATCAGTGTAATCAACACACATGCGTCAGGTACCATTCGGCTTCTTTACAAGCACAACATTCGCAATCCAGTCTGGGAAGTGACATTGCCGAATAAACCCCGCGTCTAACAGCTTGTTTACTTCGGCGGCTGCCGCTTGACTTCTCTCCTCGCCGTGATTTATTTTCTTTTGTCTCACAGGCCTCATTTTTGGATCCACGGCGAGCTTGTGGACAACAAGATTCGGGCTGATGTCTGGCATCTCTTCACTTCAAAGGCAAAAATGTCCTTGAATTCTTTCAGCAAGTTGTGCAAGTCTGCACCCAGCTTTGCAAAAGCAACCGTCCCAACCTTAACAGTTCTCCGAACGGGAGTTGTCTAGAGCAATATCCATGTGCTCACCAGTCGGATGGGGACGGAGGTCGTGTGACCATTCCCCGGTCAGTGATTGCTATTGCTTTTCTTTTTTAACAGCCACCAGCTGGTCGGCCTTTCTTTTCTTTCCGGCTGCTGGTGGGGCAGGCTCTTACTACTAGAAATAGGCCGTTTTCCGACGAAATCGTTTCGACGGACCTAAATTCTGTCGGAAAATTCGAATTTTCCAACGGAATTATGGTTTGTTAGAAAATTCCGTCCGAAAAGGTACGTTATGACGGAAAATCTCTCGGAATTCTTGCGACGGAATTAAATTCTCCGGAATTAACAGCTCGGAATATTAAATTTTCGACGGAAAAAAACCCCTCGGAATATTCCGACGGATTATTCCGTCGGAGATTTAAATTTTCGACGGAAAAAAAATTCCGTCGGAATATTTCGACGGATTTTCCTTCGGAAATTCATTAAAAAAAAAACTTACCCTCTTAACCCTAAACCGACAGCCCCTTCCCCTTATTTCATTTTCTCTATCTCTCTCCTTCTGCTACTGCTTTCTCTTTCTCTTTCTCTCTCCTCTTCTCCGCCTTTTCTCCTTCTTTTTTCCCTTTCTCAGTATTCTTCTCTTCTCCTCCCTCCTCTTTCCCCCTTTCTCTCTCTTCTCGATCTCCTTCTTTACTCCTCTCTGACATCACCGTATCGACATCAACAACAACACCACCACTGCTTCTCTGCTCCTCTCTGCCGTCACCGACATCAACATTAACAACAATTTCCGACATCAACATCAACAACAATTTTCGGCCTTTCTCTTTGTTCTCTTGCTAAAAACAAAGGTTTTCAATTCAAATTCGACCATGAAAACTCTAGATCTAGAGTTTTCATGGTCGAATTTGGCCTCGTAAACCCAATTTTGAGGTTTTGTGTGGTCGAATTAAGGTATGTATCTTTTTTTTTATTATTATTATTTTTTTTATTTTGTTGTTTAATCGGATTTTTTTTGAATATATATGGTTGTGGTGGATTTTTTTTTTTATTTTTTTTTCGATGTTGGGGGTTGGGTTGGGATTTTAATTTTTTTTTTGTTAATTTTTAGGCTGTGATGGTTTGTTTAGGCGGTAGCGGCGGTGGTTTTAGGTGGGTGGTGGGGTGGTTTGCTTAGGATGGGTGGTTCGGCCGAATTTGTTAGGGTTAGGGTTGTAGATCTGGGTTCGTTTGGGTGGGGTTCATTTAGGTGGTAGATCTGATTGGGTGGGTTTGGGTTAGGTGAGGAATCTGGTGGTGGGTTAGGGTTCAGTGGTGGTCGTGGTGGTTATGGGGGGCTAATGGGGTCACGGTGGTGGGGTGGGTTGGGGTTACGGTGGTATATTCTGGTGGGTGGGGGTGGTGGGTTAGGGGGTGGCGGTGGGGTGGGTTGGGGTTACGGTGGTATGTTCTGGTGGGTGGGGGTGGTGGGTTAGGGGGTGGCGGTGGGGTGGGTTAGGGTGGCGAGCAGGGGTGTGGGCAGTGGTGGATCTGGGTGGGGTAAGGGTTAGGGGTTTGGCTGTTTTTTTTATTTTTTTAATTTTTTTTATTGACTTTTCAGACGGAAATTTCCGTCGGAATATACCTCTTCCAACGGAAATTTCCGTCGGAAACCTCTCCAACTCCGACGGAAATTTCCGTCAGAAAATTGCGACGGAATTTTAATTAAAGTAAAAAAAGCGCCGACAGAATTAAATCCGTCGGAAACTAGCCTTCCGACGGAAATTCCGTCGGAAAAGGTCGAATTTCCTTTAAAGGGCTTTGCGACAGACTGATTTCGACGGAAGACCATTTTCCGACGGAATTTCCGATGTTTCCGGCGGATTTTTTCCGTCGGAATCAAGCTGTTTTCTTGTAGTGTCTTGTTCCTTGACATCGTCAAGGTCTATTGGCTCCCCACCCTGCCGGCTGCTGCCGCAGTGGGCTTGACGTTTGAGAGGTAGCACTCTCGAGCTATCTTCTAGTCCCCGCTCAGGGAGCCAACAAAACCATCATCTTTCTCAAATTTCAGCAGAATAAGGGATGGGATGATGACGGCCTTAGATTCGTTCAGAGTTGGACGACCCAAAATCATATTATAGGCGGTCACCTTTTCCACGACCAGGAACTGGACGACCATGTGGCGCCCCTCTCCCTTTTCTCCAAGCCGGATGAGTAGGTCAATTCGGCCGACTGGGTGCACAACTCCACCCCCAAAACCAACCAAGGGATGAGTGACCTTGTGCATGCTGTCGGGCCTGTACTTCAGCTTGGACAGGCACTTGTAGCTGATGATGTCAGACAAGCTACCGGTATCAATGAGGATTCGACTGTCGTTCTAGTTAGGCACCTTGCATTCAATGACAATGGGGTCATCATGCGGCCGACGGACTTTGCCCCGGTCCTTTTGAGTGATGATGACCTTAGGGAATGTGTCGGTAGACGCCTGGCTCTCATCGACGGAGCTGACATCCAGCCGTCTGACATGGTCCTTGGTGCCCCTGATGGTCGGGCCCCCTCCATCAAAGCCGCCTGCTATGGTGTAGATCGGCTCCTTGTCAGTTTCCGAACTACTAGTAGGCTTTGCTGGCTTTTTTTACGGCTATCTAGGGTTTGTCTTCAGAGTCACCTTAGACTTGAGGATGTAAGATTTTAACACCCCCTTATCAGCCAATCTATCCAACAACCGCTTGAGGCTATAGAAGTCGTTGGTGTCATGGCCAATATCCTCATGGAAGTGGCAGTACTTGTCTTTATTCTGGTTTTTGGCCGGACCTTTCATAGCTGTGGGCTTCTCAATAGTCACCCGGTTTTTAATCTTCATGAGGATGGAGTAGTAGTCTTTGTTAAACTCGTACTTTGGGACGTACGATTTAAACTCTTTCTTTTTCTTCTGGGACGACTGATCAAAATCCTTAACCGCCTGATTTCTTTTCTCTTCTTGCTCTCTTCAGCTTTGTGAGCCGGCTGTTCTTGCTGACTCCCTTTTTGTTTGTCGGACTTCTTTGAGTCCGACTGCTTGCTGGTGGAGCAGAGCTCGGTTGCCTGTATATAGGCTTCCGCCTCCATCAGTGCTTCCTGAAGAGTGGAGGTCCTCTTCCACATGAGGTCAAACTTGAATGCCAACCCGTCTTTCAGACCCTTGAAGAAGTCTGTGTAAGAAACAACGTCAGACAGTCTTTGGATCTAGATTCTCACTAGATTGAACCGCCTGACGTATGAGCGGAGCCCCTCCCTTTCTCCCTGTTGTACCGCGCCCAAGTCGAGGCTTGTCTCTTCGGCGGGTATGTTCATGGAGAAGTTCGAGGCGAACAAGAATGCAAGCGTCCTAAAATTGTTGATGCACCCATCCGGAAAATTATCGAACCATTACTGGGTAATGCCCTTCAGCGTGGCTGGGAAGCACCTGCACCATGCGGCGTCATCCAACCCCTGTAAGTACATGAGGTGGGTGTATACCGATAGGTTGTCTTCTGGGTTGGTGGTACCATCGTAAGTACCCACCATGACATTCTTAACCTTGGCTAGCTATGCCGCCTTGATTATCTCCTTGATCTCCTTGGAGAATACAGAAGGTTGTTCTCCAAGTTTTAGCAGACAGAGCTGCCAGTCCAGTGGCTGGACGTTGTATGCCGCCTGACCCCCGAAGAGGGCAGGCTGCATTTAAGGCTGGGCATACGACCCGCATGGCTGCTGGGTCATATACGGGGTCGAGCTGATCATCTGAGTACTTGTATGGACGGACAGGCCGCCTGATAGGCTCTCTTGTACAGATTGAGAATACTTCATCGAGGTATTCTTGAAGTTGTCTGGGAAACTCGACGTTGAAGCCGACTAAAATAGTTGCTGATTTTTCTTTTGCTCGATTTAAAGGCGGGCATCAGAAAATGTCTTCTTGAACATGCCGAATGACCTTCCTCTTCTCTATCTCGGGGAAACGGAGAGAAGGCTTCTTGGCCGGCTGACCCTTGCTGGGACCAATCGTCCTTTTGGTGGTCAAATCTTTCATCTCTCCCTTGAAACCCGTCATGAATTTCATGAACTCGTCTTGGGTGATGTGAGCAGGCTGTCCTGCCGCCTGGGGCTGGCCGGATGACTTACTCGGACCTGCTTGAGCATCGCCCCGTTCCTTGTTGTCTTTGGAACGGACGCGCCTTGTAATGAGGGATCCATCTATGGCCGTATATGTTTTGACTCTGCTTCCGTATCATTGTCT